AAAAACCGGACTTATAGTCTAATCTGATCTGACTATTGTATTGAAACAGTTTGATTTGGTCTGTAAATATCTCAAACGTTAATTTTTTTATTTAACCTAAGATTTTCTGTAGACCGGACCGGACCATGAACACCCATAGATGGCTAGATATAGGAGTAGGACCCTTTCACCCGAAACACATTAGCCGTGCGTGAAGATGGACTTAAGATAGCCCGGCCCCACTCTTAAACTTAGACGCCGGCTATCAGAAGGACCATAAAGCGAACAGGGCCGGGTCCGAGGGATGGCGTGTCAACTAAGTAGTTTGTGGGCCTGAATTTCTGATTGCCCTTCACAGTTCACGGCTTCACGCTTATCAAGTTATCAATATCTAGCCTGGATCAAGTTTTGGTCGGGTCAACTTGCTACCAATTCCTCGGCCCCGCTTGTTGCCAACTTAGTGGGGGCCGGGGGGTCAACCGGCGGAAGCCAGGCCTCCTAATCCTAGGCCCTACTAAACCTATGCTGGTTCTATATTTGACCTGAAACCGAAGAACACTAAACACGACCAGTTCAATTGAAGCCCACTTGTTGCTATCTCACTGGGCTGGGTTTAGAACTGTTAATGGCTGTGGGCCAAAGTGGCGGAGGATGACCCGTGATCCTGGTAATAACTAATAAGCCATTAATGTCAGAACAAAGGATGCACGCGGTGTACATTGTTGAGGGGTCTTGGAATTAATGGGTCTATTAGTACGTCGCTTAAAGAGGAGATTTGGGTCCAGTCACAAGCCCCTTTACTTGATTCAGCATTTCACCTTCAACAGGTGTGTCCCTACTCCCTAATCCTAATGTGTCTCAAAGTTTCGAAGTAATGGGCTGGGTTAATTTGGGGCCCATCACTTTGGAGGCTTTTTGTCCCTCTGTCCAACTAGAAGGCTACAACCTCATAAGCTATAACCATTATAGGTTTGCTTGGATAGAACACATTTCAATATCCATAAATTTAGAATGTGTAAGTATCTTTTATTGAGGTGGTTGAATCTATCGGATGTATCAGAGGTGCACAGTTGAGACAATCAAGGAGTGCACAATTGAGAAACTCTAGGGATTTAATTAAAGACCAAAGCTGACCTCCAACCAATTCATCACTTTTTTTTTTTTAAGTTATTTATTTACTGTTGTGAATTGTGATTTGTGAAGAAGGTTTCCTTTTAACTGTCTAGGAAACCTTAGAGCTGTAACAGATTCATAGCTTTCCACCATAAATGAAGTAGGAAAAGCACAGAGCACAAAACACTGCATCTGCAGGTGAAAAAACATGAAAAGAATTTAAATAATTTCATTAAATGTAATGTTTACTTTTAAGGGCAAATTTGTAAGTCAAATTCAAGAATAAAATGGATGATTATACCACTAAATTGGATGGGCAAAGATGTTATGATTGTAAATCAGGATAGAGATTAGTGGTTGCTTGCTATAGCCTAATGCTTTTGCCTGATTCAATTCGTGCTTAAAAAAAAATAAATGAAAAAGTTATTAACAAAATGAAGGAAAATTTAATATTCTATAATCAAGGGGCCATTACCCAATGTTGATCCCAGCTATATGGGTTATGGGTCTTGGGAAGGGTGGATTGTATGCAATCATAACTTTTGGCACTTTTTTTCACACAAAATGGCCATTCTCAATCGAACCCATATTTTCACATTTGGCATTTATAGATTCTATTATTAGGTACTTATTTTTTATTTTATTTGGTTGAGGGGAGGTATAATAAGTAGTTTATCCTACAAAACTAATTTATGTCACAAATCTCTTCGCAAAACATAGCTTTTGACTTTTTTTTTCAGCCATAAGATGTCTTTGTCAAACCTGGATCTCCTTAAGTAGTTTTTTTTTTCTATAAAAAAAGGTGCGTACACCGTGAAAGCACGGCATCCAGCCGTACATTGTGAATATCTCCCATATTTGGGGTGATATTCCCGATGTGGATGTAATGCACTTAACCATGCATGTTTTGTGAAAATCCAAAAGAGGAATGAATGGTCATATAGTCCTTCACCAAATGACTTGGCCCACTCTACATGCTTTGTTTCATTTAGGCTAGCTGTATTTGGTGGACCTTTTCTTTCCACCCAAACACAGCCTTATACACAACAATGCTCCTTTTTGCTCTTTTTCCCTTTGCTGTTCGGTTGTTCCCATCTTTTACTTAGACTTATAAGTTTATTTGCAACGCAATTGCATTTGTACTAATGCAAAAAGTATGGGAGCCAAAAATAAGTTGAATGCAATTATTATTTTTTATTTTAAACTCACATGGGTTTTGTTTGATTACTGTGTTAATAAAAATAAAATAAAATCTAAACCAAAGTAAAATGACATAAAGTGAACCAGAACTTGCATTGTTCTGATTTACAGTTAGGCTGCGTTTGGAAACAATGCAAATTGAGTGTAAATCACAGTTTAGGGTAAATTTGTACTATGGTTCACTTTTGCCTGTGTTTGGTAATATTACATTTATGCATTCACAAATGATAGACCAATGCATATTTACATTGATAATAAGATGTAAAAGTACATCAATAAAAAAGAAGTAAATTTGCATTCAAGTGGGTTTTTGATAAAAATAAAACAAAAAAACATATTTTTTTATTGAAATTCATGTTTGCATCCATTACAGCTAAAAGATTGTTTGGTAAGAAGGTAAAATTGTCAGTGCAAAACTAACTCAATTTTGCAATTTATATGAACCCGTTTCACTCGCACATATTTGCATTGTTTTCAAATGCAGCCTTAGGGATGGTAATGAGGAGGGCTTTGTAACCTACTAACCTGTACCATCCCCAAAACTCATAGCATGTTGGATTTTGAGAATCAAGCCCTCCCCACATATGAAAATGCAGAACCCTCCTCACATTTAAAGGTAGAATAGATTGGGTTTAAAATCCCATCTATTTTTCTATTATTTCTTGTTATATATAAGCAATAAATAAGTAAAATAGCATGAACAAACAACAAATTTTATAATTATTTGATCATGACATGTAAAAACACATAAACTACCAATTGTCTTTCACTTAAAATTCAAAATATTACTAAATCCAACACTTAATACAAAGTTCATATGCCTTCCAACAATATACAGATTGGGGAAGGTCAGCTTTAGCCTAATACCATACCCTACCCTATCCATATCCATATAGATTATAGAATCTCAAAACTCATCTCTGCCCCAAAATCCATTTTTTAAACAAAAAAAAATTTTTGAAAAAAAAATCAAGACAGAGAGGGCGGATACCCACACTGGATAAGTGGATAGGGTAGAAATTGTCATTCCTATTTACAGTTGCAATTAAAAATTTTGAAATATTGAAAATGAAATAGCATTACAAGCAGATAGAATCTTTATTGCATAATAGTTTGCTTTTACTGCTACTCATAGATAACCCTGGAGCTTTATTAGGGCAGATCTCCAGCATACAAAACATAAGGATTTCTGACCATGACTTGTGAATAGTTTTGAATGCACTGATTATCAAAATTATTTGCAGGTTGCAGCGGAAACAAATTTCTAAGGTCATTTCAAGCTAAGAGTTTGTTGTAGGGGTGCTCACAGTTTGATAACTAACCTATGGTCTAAATTTTGAAAAAACGGGAGCTAAAACCAATCGATTAACTAATTGATCAATTTGGTTTTTTATCTATTGGGTTCGTAGGTTCTTTTACATTTTTAATATATATTATAAAAACATATAATATAGATACTATATTATGTTATAAATAATAAATAATGTATATTGGTTCATTAACTGGATTTTTTAGTTCGTTTTTTTTGGTTTTTATTGAGGGAAAATCTATGATATGGAAAAAGTATATTTTCTATATCGTATATTTAAATTGTATTTTAAAAAAGTATATTTTCTATATCGTATTGATGAGATGGACCAATCAACATTCGCCTTCTCTGTTTCGGTGAATACGGGTTATCATACATAACCGGCTTTAAAAACAACCATTTAAATTGTATTTTAAAAAAGAAATTCATTTCAATATAAGAAAGACGTTAGCATCTTCACTGTTAAACGTCACCCGGAAGCCGCTTTGGCGGATGGGGGTGGACGATGACCAGAAAAGCTCACTTCTGAAGGTGAAGAGCAGCTGCCTCGGACAGCTAGTACAGGGGGCCTCTGACAAATAAAGACGGTCAGGAGCAAGGGAAGTCGTCTACCGGATGACGAATGAAGGAGCACGGGGAAGAAGACAGTCGGGAGCAACAGAGAAGTTGTCGTTTTCGAACAGAGTTCGTTTCTCCTTTTTTTTTGAGCACGGGGAAGAAGACGGTAGGGAGCAATCTACTGGATGGCTAATGGAGGAGCACAGGGAAGAAGACTATCGTCGTTTTCAAACGGAGGAATAGAGAAGGTGTCAATTTTCGAACAGAGTTCTTCTCCTGTTGTTGTGTTCAGGGGTATAGCGATAATAATTTTATGACCGTGGGGAACAATCTACTGGATGACGAATGGAGGAGCATGGGGAAGAAGACAGTCGTTGTTTCCGAACGGAAGAAGTGAGAAGTCATCGATTTTCGAACAGAGTTCTTCTTCTCCTTTTTTTGAGCATGGGGAAGAAGACGGTGGGGAATAATCAATCGGACGGAAAATGGAGGAGCACGGGGAAGAAGACAGTCGTTGTTTTCGAACGGAAGAACTGAGAAGTCGTCGATTTTCGAACAAAGTTCCTCTCTTGTTTCGGTTTTTTTTTTTTTTTGAACTACCAAAAAGAGCCTTCATTTCATTATTATTTCATAGGTGGTGAGCAAAACTAGAAAGCAGAAGCTCTCGCTCATTTGTTTTCTTTCTACAAAAAGGATCACAGTTGATGTTTACTCACTCTAGCCAGACTCTAATACGTACTAAGTAGCAGCAACAGTAGTAGTAGGTCTATCTCCTACATCCTACAAATTACAGTTTATCTAAAAACTGGCGGAATCCAAGATGGAGAACAGTCATCCGCCATTATTGTGTTTGTGGCGCTGCTTCTGCTTCAGGGGACAAGGAACAAAGAACGACTCCTCCCATGTCAAAAGCCAGCTCCTTCACCTCCTTGTCCATCTGTTTCCTCGCGCTGTGTTCTTTCCCAGCGATGAAGTTCCTCTTGTTATCCTGGGCATTTATCCCGAATACAATTATCTGCAGATTCTCTTTCTCGGAAGCAACGACGGTGAACACATGCTCCAGTGGAATCATGAAACCTGTATTTGAAGACACACGGGAACTGACCTTCTCATACTATACCCCATCACCTTCTCCTTCTCTTCCTCTCTGGTCTTCTCATACTATACCCCACCACCTTCTCCTTCTCTTCCTCTCTGGTTCTGACTGGAAATGTGTGGGCACACCATCCACTCCCTTTCACTACAAAAGCTATCCTGGTCGACCTCATGTTGTACAAGGGAACTAGCATTGCCCCGGCTCCCTGGCTGATGTTGCTAAATATGACGGAGACGTTAAGGTCTTTGAGCTGCTGGTAGTCGTTAGGTTGGGCCTTGTAGAGTTGTCCATAGCTATTAGAATAGATGGGGTGTTTCTTCAACAGGTTGAACGGGCCCCTCGTCTCACTTTTGTGTATGCTCCACCGACGCCCACCCTCGGATGATGAAGAAGCCTGCTCGCTCATGGCCTTAATTTGTTCCTTTGACGCCTCCCTCATCACTCCCTTCCTTTTCTCTCCCAACATCCTCTTTAGTTTGTCTTTTGGAGTATTTAGAGTGGCTTCCAGGATTTCATTGCTAAATGCAGTATAGAATGATTCTCCATCTTTGCTGCTGGCGCTAAAGAATTTCGAGACGTGGCCGGGAGTTGAGATGATCCTAAAGAGTGTGACTATCTAGAGGTTTTCGTTGTCGTCTCTGTTCACCAAGTAGATCGTCGTTCCAACAAGAATCCTAGCTACATCTCCACACTCAAGATTGTAGGATTCCCTGTTATCATTGTGCACCAAGTTGATTGTTGCCTTCCCCTTAACAACGATGACAACAACATCTGCATCCCGGTGATGGGGGATCAGGAAAGTGTTAGGTCCGGCTTCCAGGACAGCCAAGCAGTAGTTATTTAGACCACTCAGAAGCTTAAATCGGGAGTTGAATCTCTGCTCATCGAAGAAGTAGGGGTTACTCTTATGTCGCTACTGCTGCTGCTCCTCCTCTCGGCTGCCTTCTCTTTGCGGTTTCAGTGGGTAAGCCAGTGACAAAGCTGCCGACAAATGGAAGAGAGAGAGAGGAGGAAGAAACACAAAGGAAGCTTGGCTTTGATCGCCATGACTGAAAGAGAGAAAGCTTTGGTGGACGGATTCTCCTGTTTTGAATTGCGTTGAGGGGTATAACTATTTCGCTAACGGGGAGGAGTTGGAAAAAAATTCATATATTTTTTGAATATTTTAAATTTTAATTATAATATAAAATAATTAATTAGTAAATTCAGTAATTGCTGCAAATGTGGCATTACAAGGAATTTTCCATACGATATGGTTTTCATATCATAGTCGTTTACTGAATACCCCTACTTTGTTGAATTAAATAAAACAAAGTAATTAATTTTCTCACTTAAAAAGTCAGAACAGAAGCAGATTTCATTAATTTACGTGGTGTTCGTGGTATTTGGTACTGTAGTTGTTTTGAGTAGAAACGGGTGTTTTTTTTTTTGTAAACCTCAGAAAGCTTCAATTACTTATAGCAAATCATTACATACGCTACCCTTACTATTCATACATTCGACTACGATATTATATTTACAAGCATTGCAAGCAAGTTCATGCGCTTGTGAGAGTCGAAAAAACCGGGCTCATTTTGTCACTTGGGCTGGAAATGGAGTCGTCACCCATCAGTTTAGTTAATGAAGGTGATGGGACTTCCGGGAATAATTTGAAAGAGTTTTTTTTTTTTTTTTTGTAGCGACTCCAACGCCCAAAACACTGGCTAAACCAGTCCGGGTAGGTCTCAGATGGGAGAGAGAAGGGGTTAGACACCCCTCTCCCGGATCCAATAGGTGGGGCCTACAATCTGAGGGTTCTCAGGGTGAAATTTGGGTTTTTGGGTGTTTTGAAGAGGTTGGATGGGTCTGATCGAGTGTTTGAGGTGAATTGGAGGCTCAAACGACATACCGAGCAAAAATCGGGTGCTAACAGCCCTATTCATACTTCTATTTACATGGGCTATTTCAGTTATATCAAAAAATGATAAGAGGTGTAAAATATTATGCTTGTGTAAAATATTTACCACGCTTTCTGAGTCAAAAAATATAGCCACTCTCTTCATCTTTATGGCATATTGAATGCCATGTAAGAGGGCCCGCCATTTGGCTTGAAGGGGGATAGCTGCTGTGACCCTTCTACTGCTTGAGAAGATCTCCTTATCATTTGCTGTGATGATCCAAACTCCTGTTCCTGGCATGCCAAATGAAGGGTTAAAAGACCCGTCGATAAACAATTTGAATTGAGCGGCTAAGATGATGTGGGAATGCATGAATGATGGGTGGGTTGACTGTATTGCTTCATTAGGGACTATGTACTAGCACGTGTGATTGATTAAACATGTTGGGTTGATGATTTTCTTCTTGTGCTCCGCTGCATTTCTCATATCCCATATTAATCTGAATATTTATAAAGAATTTTGCAAGGAATTCCTGTTTTTCTTCTTTACATAGGCAGCTTAGTTTAGAAGGCATCCATTCCTGTATAATTGTATAGAGCTCCTTGCCTTTGATGAGTTTTGGGTTTATTCCCATATTTGCTGATAGCCATACTGCTCGAGCATAAGGACACTCAAAAAATACATGTTGTCAAGTTTCTGTTTTGGTCTTGCACAGAGAGCATTTTCTCTCATCTTCAGCGATAACACGCCATTTGTCTTTAGTGGGAATTCCATTCCACCATGCCCTCCACATGAATATTTGAAATCTCATAGGAATTTTACTTTTCCATATGAGATTCCAATCCCATTGGTATCCCGAAGATGAGGCCTGTTTTGACAAGAAATCATAGCCGGTCTTAACCTCATACTCACCCGATTTTGAACTCTTCCAGATGATTTTATCAGAAGGTTAACTGATGGGAGATTAGGGTCTGATGAATTTGACTGTGACATTCCTCCTGAAAAATTGATTCAATTTTCCTACTATCCCATTCTCCTGACATAGTGATGATTTCATTCACCTTTAGACTCCTTACAAGAGTGGCAGTTTCGGGTTTTATGTTTGAGATGCCATTAATAAGAGAGGGAACCCATGGATCTGAAATAAACACTTGTGCCCCATTTTTGACCTGCCATACTGTATTTGGTTTTATGATATCCCATAGTTATAGAACATTTTTCCACCATCCCGAATCCATTTATTTCTTTTTTAGGGAGTAAATGGATTGATTTTTTATATATTTTGCCTTTATTGCCTCCCTCCACAGTCCTTTTTCACTGGACCATAATCGCAAATTTGTTTACAGAATAAGGCTTGGTTAAACTCATTCATTCTTCTGAATCCTAAACCATCCATTTTTTTTGGGTTGGCAGAGAATTTCCCATGGTATGGTGTGTATTGCTCTATGATCATGCTAAAATGTCAAATTGACTGGTATTATCATGCTAAGTGTGCGCGAAATGTATGGTTGGAAGAGAGTAGAAACGGGTGTTAAGAGTTTCATATGTGCTATTATCATGCTACAGTGTTAAGTAAATAAGTGGGAATTAAAAATGTCAGGGGTGTGCGCGAAATGTCAAATTGACTGGTTGGTTGGTTGGTAATGTCTCCATTGATTATAGCAGAGATTTAGAACTGAATCTTGCCAACGCCAGGGTTGTGAGGTGTCACTGGACTGGTTTTGGTTTGAGTCCACCAATATCAAATTGGACGGGTTGGATGAACACTAATAAATCATATCGAATTGGACTAAGCCGGTTTAATGGTAGTATTTATTGGATTGGACCTCGTCTATTTATAATGAAGTTACATTGGATTGGATAAGATTAAACCAATATCCGATCTATTGATAGAAGATAGGAATACAGGTGTTAAGGGACCAGGTGTTGATTGGAACAAATATTAATTAAAACCAATTTGAACACATAAGATGTTTCAGACAATAGATTGGATCGATCTAAAATGGTCCAACATATTCATTGGATTGGATTGGACCTCATCCATTTATAATAGATTCGTATTTGGACTGGATTCAATAGGACCAAATCCGGTCAAATAATCCGGATTGAATTATTAGAAACTGCATGCTAAATTCAATCCATAATCGTGAAGCCTAAGACCGCAACTTGAGCAGGTTAACCCAAGCCTGAACCCAATCCAAACAGATTAGATTGGGTTGAAATTCGGATTAAAAAGTATAAAATCTATTTAAATTCAGGTTGAATTAGGGTTGAAGCTTTCATTAACTTAACTTGATACATACATGTATGTATATATGTATGAATGTATATATATTTATTGATGCATAATTGCATACATATTACACATACATCCATCTATGCATAAGTTAGAAAAGTTGGATCAACTTAAATCAGCCTACTAAGCTACTACCCACCCCGAAAGTTTTGGATTGGGTCATGGTTAGGGTTAATAGTTCAGGTTGAATTAGGATGGGCCTCAAGCCCATGCGTTTCAACTTGCAACTCTATATAAAGGATCTCATATTGGATTGGAATCCTATTGGATTTTTGGAGCTAATCCTCGTCCAATCCATTAATTTTAAAATAAAAAAAGCCAAAAGATTATAATAAAAAAAAAAAGAAAAAACAATTGTCTTTCACTTGTACAAAGATTACACATAGTAATATTAATTAGTTTATCAATTATAAACTTTATTGATCATGGATATTATATTTCATCAAACAATTCAAGGGTATTATCAATATATATGTATATAATTAATTTTACATATTTATATTATAATATACAATATTTGTATAATATATATACTTATTGTTTTGGTAAAGATATATAAGCATTACATAAAATTTAATTGAGCCCAATTCGTTTGTGTGAAAGGAAGACCCAAGTCCAAAATAATCGGATCGAACATCGGACTTTCGGACGGACTCCGTTTGATTGTAAAAATTAAAAACAGTCTCTTTCTGGTTTCTCATATACGTACAGTATCGTAAATCCTTGCTATTTTATATTATCTACAGGATATGGTCCATATTCTTATAGATCTTACATACTATCTAGGAATATAAATTCGACCGTTGGATTTTACTGAAAATATTGTCCCGAGACATCGAACGGCTAGAGTCTGTTTTGTATTTTGGCTCTGTGGGAAGAGGACAGCTTCCTCTCTATCCTCTCATCGTCCTCGTCTTCTTGTTCATCCTCTCCGTCTCCAATCCCCCCCCTCTCTCTCTCTCCTACACACTTACACAGGCTGACTACTGCTTGCAAGGACGAGGAGAAGAAAAGGAGGTACCTGTCTGAAATCTTTTCTCTGGTTTGACGTTTCCCGTCGACAGGAAGAACCCCATAATTTTAGGGTTTCCACCATCTTCATTTCAGTACTAGAACCCACATTGGTCCTTTCTTAAATTTAAATTTATCATCTTTTGCTTGATTTTCTATCGTTCAAATGGATAAAAGTTTATTTTTTTCAGACTTTTTTTTTTGGGGGGGGGGGTGATGGGGAGGTAATGTGATACAGTTCAGTGGTGGCATGAACTCCCTCGAGGCTGAAATGATTTATGGAGAAATCATCAGGAATGGTAGTGTTCTGGACTGCATTGGTATGATAATGTTATTAATTGACAATATTTTCTTTTCCCATCATTTTGTATCCAAAAGAAGTTTTACGTAAAGCTAAAATGTTCTTTTTTTTTTTTTCTAATCGTCATTTGATCAACATTTTGTGATGGATTGAATTGCGGCATTGGTACAAAACATTGCGACATTTCAGATATCCCCTAGCAAATTGTTTCAGAATTTTCTTTTCTGGGTTTTGCGCACTGTGAAGCAGTTGTTACTTTAAGCTCCGACTTATTAAAGGCAGTAAAATTCTTTCTTTTGTTCTGTGTGCCACGCTTAAGTAAAAAAGATAACATACTGAATTACCCCTTTGAGACGATACCCTGTTAGCTGTTTCAGAAGGAGAGACAAGAAATGGATTCAGTTTCTTATTTCTTTCATTCAACAGTCAGTTTTCTACTCATAGGTACTCATCAACTAATCAACTCATTTTTGAATTAAAATATAGGTTTGTACTCGATTATTAATCTCTTGTTGCGCTTTGTGTGTGTGCGCGCGCGTGTGTGTAAGCAAGGCCGTTTCCTTTTTTGTTGTACTTCGCAAATAAAATCTGGTAAATTATCCAATGATGTCGTTTCAGTAATCCTCCCAACCATTTTGGAAGAAAAGGAACTACTTTATTTGTTTTTTACCACGATTTTGGTAGAGTGCAGTAAACTCTCAATATGCTAGTCATGTATTCTTGTGCTTGGTTACTTCATTTTATTGCGAGAATTAATACATATATGCTATGATATATTTAAGATTCTTCAATCTTCCTTTTGACATTCTTACAGGAAAAACAAAATAACATGGAAGAAGAGCCTGTCGGTCAAGGTAAAGAGTTGGTGGATGCATTCGTGACTTTGGAGGATGAAGGTGAAGAGTGCTGTGTTGTGGAGGATGTTGAAGTTCCTATGGTTCTGGATGATGCAAAGAAAGAAGATTCCATAAACATCGAATTATCTAAATGTCTCGTTGGTGGGATTATAGAACCAACTCTGGATATGGAGTTTGCTTCTGAAGAGGATGCTAGAAACTTCTACAATGCATATGCTAAGCAGATGGGCTTTAGCATTCGTGTGAATTCATACTATCGTTCAAAGAAAGACAATTCTATTATATCTCGAGAATTTTGTTGTTCTAAAGAAGGTTATCGCCGTGAGAAACGTGTGAGAAAAATAGATTCTAGTGATGACACGAAAAAGAGGAGGGCCCGACCAATCACAAGGGAGGGTTGCAAGGCACTGATGACTGTGAGGAGACGAGACAGTGGAAAATGGTATGTAGCAAAATTGGAGAAAAACCATAATCATGAATTGGTTACTCCAGCAATGCGGCATTTCCTTCGATCTCATCGGCAGGATTATGATCCAAAGAAAAGTTTGATTGATACTCTAGGATCTCCCTTGATGGGTAGTAGCAGTACTCTTAATGTCTTTTCTGAAGATTGTGGTGGGTTTAGTAAGATGGGATTTGCTGCACCCGATCATAATAATTATATTGGAAAGGGACGGCTTAGCACCTTTGGGATGGATGCTCAAAGTTTACTTGGTTTTTTCAAGATTATGCAAATGAATGATCCTGCCTTCTTTTATGCTATACAGGTTGATGAAGAAGATCGTCTAAGCAGTGTCTTTTGGGTTGATACAAGATCAAGGATTGCCTATAACTGCTTTTCTGATGTGGTTGCCTTTGACACAACTTATCAAGTGAATCAGTATAAAATGCCATTTGCTCCATTCACTGGGGTAAATCATCACAAACAATCAGTATTGTTTGGTTGTGCATTGCTTGCAGATGAAACGGAATCCACATTTGTTTGGCTTTTCAAAACCTGGCTTGAAGCAATGTCTGGACGCCAACCAGACTTGATAATAACTGATCATGATTTGGCTATAAAGAATGCTGTTGCAAGAGTCTTCCCAGAGTCGTGCCACAGATATTGCAAATGGCACATCCTAAGCAAAATGCCAAAGGAATTGGGGCATATATATAGTACACTTCCAAAGACATTCCAATTGGAATTTGAGAAGTGCATCAACAAAAGTGAGATGACTGAAGAGTTTGAATTAGCTTGGGATTCACTGCTTGATAAGTATAATCTTAGGGGAAATGAGTGGCTTCAGTCATTATATTTTGATCGCAAAGAGTGGGTCCCAACTTATTTGCGAAATGCATTCTTTGCAGGGATGTCTGCAAGTCAACGGAGTGGAAATGTAAACTCACTTTTTGATGGATATGTAAATGCAAGAACTACTTTACAAGATTTTGCAGAACAGTATGAGAAGGCATTGGATGATCGGTTTGAAAAGGAAGCAAGGGCAGAATTTGACACCTTCTACACTAAACCTGTTTTAAAGACTCCACTGCCTATAGAAAAACAAGCAGCAGAAATTTATACAAGAAAAATATTCTCAATATTCCAGGAAGAAATTTTTGAATCTCTTGTCCTTGCTGTGAAAAAAAGTGGGGAGGATGGTGAAACCAGCATATATGGGGTAGCAAGATTTGATGAAGAACATAAGATATATTCCGTTGCATTCAATGTCTCTGATCAAAGAGCTAGTTGTAGTTGCAAGATGTTTGAGTCTGAAGGCATCATCTGTAGACATGTACTTGCAGTGTTCAAAGCAACAAATGTGTTTATGCTTCCAGCACATTATATCCTGAAGCGATGGACAAGAAGTGCCAAAGATGAGGTTGGATTGGGTATGTTGCCTTCTGTTGAGATGCAAGCTCACTCTCAAAAGGCCAAGAACTTGCAATACAGTATTTTATATCAAGAGGCCATTAAATGTGCAGAGGAAGGAGTTGCATCTGACCATAGTTTTAGGGTAGCATTGAGTGCTTTACAGGAGGCTAGGTATAAAATTCTTGATGCAAAGAAAAATGCTGCTAATGCCTCCAAAATTGAAACCATGGACACAGCAAGTTACCAGGAAGGGAACAACACAACTGGGAGTCAGGTACATGGTTCAATCCAAATAACTGCAATAGATACTGAGAAGATTAGGAATGAATCTCGTACCAGTAATAACAGACCCAAATCTGTATTAGAGCAGTCAGCAAGCAGAATTAGTACATGCACCAAATGTGAGTGTCCTGGGCATGACAGTCATACTTGTTTGTGGTTAAAGGATCCAGGGACAAATACTATTCTGGTAAGAACCTTACTTTAAAGTCAAGCTTTGTATTGAACTGCATAAAGCCCCTGTCATTTATATTCTCTTTCATAGGGTCAGCAAAATCGAAACTTGGTGTCCATGGTCAGTCCATGTGGAGCACAAGACAATGTTCCTCAAAGTTAAAGGTAACTTGTTTGTTGCTTGGGTCTCTTTTGTTTGTCATCATTGATGCATATAAGCCAACGATATAGTATTCTATGGTTAGGGAGTTAATGGCTACATGATGGCGATGTTGGCGAATTGGTGCTTAGATCAGCTTCTGCATACCTTTATTTGTTCTCATTGCTATTTATTTGGGCCTGGAATTTGTCATTGGTTGCATGGTGATTTTTGTCCTCTCATTTTTTCAGTGTTTTATGTGTTTGGTAAGAGTGCAAAAAGTGAATGCACTGATGTGAATGCAAACTTGTTCAAATAGAAGGATGCAAACCTGGTTCATTTTTGCACTCATAAATTTACGAAGTCTTGTTTGGTTTTGATGCATGCAAACATGAATCTCAAGGCTGGAGCCAACTTATTTTACATTGACCAACTTTGAGTGCAAGAACAGTTGAAAAGACAAATTTACTTTCATTTTTAGTGCAAAAATGTATTCTTACCAAATGCCTGCAAAACTGAACCGTAGTGCAAGTTTGCTTTGGTTCTGCATTTGCACTTTTACCAAACATAGCCTCATGGAATTTTTGGAGTCAGAACTAGAAATACATATATGATCTCTGTTTTTTACTTGTTCATTCTTCATAGCTTTGTTTTCTTCTTCTAGTGCTGCGCAATGAAATATTTACAAATGTCAGGTGGTTTCTGTCTTTCTCCATCATGGCCTTTTATTTTTGCTTGCCTGTTGGAAAGAACTTCTCTTACACTGTCAGTATGCAGCCAAGATTTGGAACCATTTCAGCTCTTTGGTAGGCATTAGTTGGGTGGCTCTGTCCCCTGTTTTAAAAGTGCAAGGGCCATTTTGCGCTCGAGGCGCGACACACATGCCTTTTAGAAGCAAGGTGCAAAAAATGCTAAAAATTCAAAAACTGTAAAATATTAAACACGGTATTAATTAAAAATGTGTACTTAAAATTTAAAATAAATGTTTAAAAAATCCTATTATCTCAAATTAAAATACATAAACATAATATGTAAAACATATTTAAAATGAAAATTTAAAGATAAGATCAAGCATAACATATAAAACATATTCAAGCATGTAAACTCTTAATTTCTTTATTTTTTTCCCAATTGCATTACTTCAAATAGCTAGTTATGTTAAACATTATGCATTCCTGATTCTATGAGTTGCCTTTGTACCAAGCCCCTTGAGGCAAGCTCAAACAAGTCCATATCAGGGTCTTAAATTCTTAATCCCTATAAAAAAGGCTTTTTTTAACTTTAAGGGTCTTCTGAAAATATCTTTTATTAGGATGAATGAATGAGCAACATTAACAAAGATACTTAAGTATCTTTCATTAGCAGCAAATGTGGCGTTTTTTTATGTTTCTCATTCATTCATTCTAATAAAAGATATTTTTAAAAGACACTTAAAGTTATAAAACCCTTTTTATAAGGATTAAGAATTTAAGACCTTGATATGGAAGCACAAAAAGAACAGGAAAAAATGCACAAATTTTCAAAAGGTGCATGCCTGGGTTGAAGCACTAGGTGCCCTAGACGCATGCCCAGGTGCACCAGGCACGTGCCTTTTGAAAATGCTGTGCCTGGGACCTAGGCAAGGCGCATACCCTAAAATGCACCTCATCTGTGTGGCTAGGCATGCCTTTTAAATCACCGGCTCCATCAGAGATTATGGGTTTGTTCATCTCAAATATTTGGCCTTGCAATACATAAAGGAAGAAGATCTTTTTGCAGTGTTCTAGGGCAACTATTTTTATTGGGTTTATGACATGGAAGAAATGGCAGAATTTTCAAAGACAAAAATCTGGATGCAGAGTGCCTGATAGAGTTAATTATGATCTGAATAGCCTATTGAACCTTGAACATTAATTTTCCAGTCTGTTATCATGAATGATTTCCTGAAAGGCTGGCATATTATTGCTGATTTTCAAATCAGCAAGCAGTAAAGGTTGGTTGAGTGGATTGCCCTGGAGGCAGGTAGATTAAAATTCAACTTTGGTGGCTGTAGTTTGGGTATCTGGGCCAATCTGGTGTGGGAGGTGTTGTGAAGGATCATAATGGCAATATTCTACTCAGTCTCAGCTTTTCACATCCTGTGGGTCAAGCTATTATTCTTTGGATGAAGAAGCAAGGGGAGATCCCATGGACCTTCAGAGCTTTGATAAGAAAGGCTTGGATCCTTAGGAACAGTTTAAACAGCTTGTTCAACTTGGTTCCTAGCCAATGCCTTGGCAGATTGATTAGTAGAAACAGGACTGTTAGAGATCAACTTATTTGGGCTTGTCCTGGGCTGGGAATTAATTTGTAAATTTGTTTTCTATTTCTGTTTTCAGTGGCTTGTTGCCTGATTGGGCAACTTGGTTGTGGATGTTGCACTATTTTATTTGTTTTTGATTAGTGAAATTTCAGTTATTTATCCAAAAAAAAAACTATTGCCACGTCTCTCCTTTTTGAGAGATGATTGATTTTCAACTATTTGGGTCCATTTATGTAGTGATCAATCTGTTGCCATTACTTTGATTTCAGCATTGATATCTTATGAAATGCATTTTATAATTGCACTGATTTAAACTTCTCGTTTTTATTTTCCTAATTATTGATGAATAGCTCAGTCTGTTTGGACCGCAAATGAAATGGATACACGAGATGGAAATGGAAACATGGAATCCACTATAAATTCTCATGTTTATATTGCGCCTGTTTCTAGGCATGCCTTTTTTTTTTTTCCTTTTTCTTTCAGTGCACACTAATTTCCGTGGCGGAGGCTAGTAGTTTTATTTCTGCTAATTATGAAGGTTTGCAATGGTTTTTGCTTCTACCCCACAAATCTAAACACAGCGTAGTTTTTTTTTTTTTTTTGCTTGGGTTTTTTCTTGTTGGATATTCCTCTTAATGCCAATGCCCTTTGGTAATAAAATGATAAAAGCATATGTTTATATTGTTTTGACAATAGTACCTTGTGTATATCAAACTTTTAAGTTGAGCAATTAAGGAAACCTTTGATACACTCGTATGATGTTCGTCTTTGACTCTTTGCAGATTCCATATGACTTTTTCAACAATGAAATTCATTTTACACCTGCAAATATTGTACAGAATTATGAGGTGAGGGAAAAAATTCCCTTTAGTCAAATATATTGGGTTTGTTTCCATTATTGTGAAACCTTGTCAGCATCCTTTATAATTGGTTTGTTTCCATTGCTGAGCTTTGTCTTTTAGATCTTCTAGGCCATAGATATGAGCATAGTCGTACCTATATACAGGGCCCTGCTGAAGAGATTTCTTTTATGTTCAGCGCATTGATGCAAAAACACCGAATGTAACCATCTAATGCATACTCTTCCCCAGTCTGTTTTGTGTAGTTAAGCTCTACCAGTCTGGGGAAGAGTATGCACGACATGATTATGAAATTCAATTGGTTGTTTTCTTTCTATACGAGATCTTGTTGGTGGGATGTTTCAAATGATGAACCCTGCTCACTTTCTCTTTTATTCTTTTCATTGGATCATAGCACTAGTCTCCACAGGTTAGAATTTGTGTCATCACTTAACTTTTTCCTTTGTTATCTATCATCAACTCCTTGACCTTCATATTGTTCCCTTTTATGTTTTTTTTTTTTTCTTTTTGCAATCTTTTTATTTAGTAATTCATTCCAGAGAGCAAAGGAAAATTTTGGTTGCACATCCTCAAACTGTTTGGAATTTTTGATAAAAAGTGGAGTTCCTATATTCTCAAACATTGTGCTATATGTTGTGCATGTGGTACATTTGAGCTTAGGGTTAGTCAGGACCGCACAACTAGGTCCTGACACTCTGACTTTAGTTCATAGTTCATAAAATAAGAGGAAAGCATGATTTTAACCACCCAGTCAATCTTTCTCTGAAGTTAACCCTCTAAATTTTCTCATGATTAGAAAAAGTGATGGCTTGGATAGTTATTTTGACTGAACCCATCTTGCTACATGGAGTGGCAGGTCCCTGAATCTTGTATACCAGTCTTGGAGAAGTTCTGTCTATACAAATTTTGTGTATAGACAGAAAATTTATAACCTTTTTCTTCTATATTAGTAAATTTTCTTTTTATTTATTTTCAAAGAAATACAAATATTCTGTAATCCATTCACTTTGGTCATGTAATTTGGCACTTAAGTGTCTGTATCTCTATATTTGCAGCAATCTTCAGCAATGCAGCTGTTTAAAAGGGGAAGAATTATTCCTATTTCAGGGGTCAATAGTGCAGAGATATTGATAATTGGAAAATGGAGAAGCTGCTTTAGTTTTGTCCTTGAGGTTCTTCTTGGGCAGCACCTTTTGCTAATAACAGGGCCACTAATCAATTACGAGTTTCTTTGTCAGATCTTTCCTTCTCCTCCTCCTCCTCCTCTCTTGGATGAGTAGTCTCATTTGTAAGCATTTCTGGTTTTGGGCCATATAGACCATAGTGATTAACTGATCTTCCTAGTGATTAGGGGCCTAACTCTTGCGTCAGGAGTTTATTCAAGAGTAGAAGTAACAACCCTTGATCGAAATTTGTCAAATGGCATAAAACCTTTTTTTTTTTTTTCTTGGGTCAAGGACAAGAGTGTCAGTTGGTATTGAGTCAGTAATTAAGGTATGGACCCATTAAGGATCTGAGAAATAATGAGATAGGTGTTTTCAGGAAACAGTTCCTGTCTGGTTTCACAAGAGGTACCTGATAAATTAATAAATTATGATAGTTTTAGAGTTTAAGAGCAAAATAGTTCTATGTATGCAAGTATTTCTATATTTTTATTGTTATTGGTGTATTGATTAAAACTTTGCCGGACATTGTTAAGGGAAATTGAGGGAAGTGCATTGTATCGATGAGCAGTTACAGAGGCAGTAAAACATGAGAAATTGACCAACTCGCAAGATACATGTGACTGTTAAAATGGGGATGATGTCAAGGTGGGTTGTAGTTGTACCCATCTGCGGCAAGCTCTCTTTGTCCGATGGATGAGACCTGAGAGATTGGTTTATTGAAGAGGACGTCCAAAGTATAAAGGTTTTGATGATATAAATTCATTTTGAATCAATTCTTGTTCAAAGAAATTCCTCGGAAATTGATATTCATTTTGATTGCTTTATTGTCTAGTTCTAGTATTTTGGTATTTTGCTGTAAATTTGTTTTCTACATTCGGTAAAAAGGAGTTTAGATTTCTATCGCCTCTTAATTGATTCACAGCCTTCACATTCCATGACTCAGAATATCACTGATTCAGTCTCTTGGACTGATCTTTGGAGTATCAAATCAAATTTATTTGGCGCCTGTTGCATATAATGCTTTGCCAACCAGGGTGCGTCTTAAAAAAAGCTTTGCCTCATATAGACCCTAAGACCCGTCTGTCCTGCCCACGTTGTGCTGATGGATATGAAACGGCTATTCGCCTTTTCTTCAACTCAAGGTTCAAAGTATCAATACGAATCGGCCACTTATCGTGCTGGTGACTTCCCAATACGTCCCTAAAGGGGGTGTATCGGGTTTCTGACCGGTCTTAAACCAGTTCCYTGAACCAGTTTTGAAAATAAAAATAAAAAAAAAGTTTAAAAAACACTATTTATATTGTCCAATATATCCCTATCAGCGTGTTGGACGTATCGATATTTTAAACCTTGCTTCAACTGTCCTTTACAGAAAGCTAATGCCTACTGGAGATACTATATTATGGATATCAACTCCCATAATTCCCCAGCAAAAAATTAAAAAATTCATAATGACCATTTAATCCACAGTTACCGGATGCACCTATTTTCATCGTCGATGGCTGAAACCTCCACTTAGGGTTGTCAAATTAATTTTAATGGTGCCACCTTTACTGTAAAATCGGGAGTTGGTATTGCTATTAGGGATGACCATGGACGTTTTCCTTTTGCTCGAGCGATCCCTCTTCATTCATTAGCAATAACTATAGAAGATTAGAAGCTACTGCGTTACTGGAAAACATTCCATTTGCTGATCCTTTGGGACTTAATCCTGTTATTTTGGAAGGTGATGCAAAGCTCATTATTCAACTTTTGTTGGAGGACATTTCTTCCCCTCCTTGGAGTGTTTCTTCACTCATCAAGTTGCAAGAGTTTTTTAAATCACCTTCCTCACTTATTAATTACTTTTTCTATCTAGAACTGTTATACAAGGTGGCCAAGTTTGCCTTATCTTGCTTGGGTACTCAAACATGGCCAAGTTTTCAAAACAGGACCGGATTGGAAAAACCGGGAACAGGTCAGGTGATTGGTTCTGTTTTATCCCAGAATCGTTATTTTCTAAAAACCGTTAATTTGGTCAGCACTAACCCGGGCATTCGAACCGTTTGAACTGTCCAACAGTTTGGCCGTTATTTATTTATTTTTTTATGTAAGAACGGCCCATCCGTTTGGTTCGAACGGTCAAACCATTCGACCTGGGAACCAGACCCTTGACTGGTTCAGTTTTAAAAACCTTGGTCTTTAGTTCCTGATTTCCTTGTATCTACATTATCTATTGATGTAATTGAAACTTAATTGTTGAGATTAGCCTTCAGGCATTCAAAAAAAAAAAAAAAGAAAAGAAAGTTGTTCTCAAGCCTGCGACAACCTTTGTTTATGCAAGCAAGGTAGGGATGCAAATGGACTGGATCATGATCCGATCCTATTTTTGTTCGATTTGAATAACCCTTTGTTCGATTTTTTGGATCATATATAATCAAATCCGATTGAAAAATCGGATTGAATTTGGATCATCCCTATTTGATCCAACCTATATATGTGTGTGTATGCATTTACAAACATATTTACTTATAAAAAAGATATGTATATATTAATATATTTATTTATAAATATGTTTATATTGCATCTTTTGTAATGTTTTTTTTTTATGAAAATACATGTATATATTAATATATATGGTGAAAATAGTTGAAAAAATACTTATATTTTTATTTTTGTTTATATAAACTTTTATGTTTTGTTTTTTCTTTTAATAATTATTAAATTTTTCATAATTCGAATCAGATCAGATCAGATCATATTCAGAATCTCAGATATCTAACATCCTTAACGGATTCATATTTGAATCAACATTTGTGAGATCCGATTAGATCTTCGAATTGGACTAGATCTCAGATATCTACTATGATCTAATCCATTTGCATCCTTAATCCAGACCACCCGTGAAACGATACAAGAAGCTCCTTTCCAATATCTTCCCTCAATTTCAAGATGCCGAACCGAATGATAGGAAATTGGGAAGCTTTGTGAATACTTCAAAGAACCCATTATATTTATACCAAAGATTACAATTTTTCTAGAATAACAGTCAATTGCATAATTTGAAAGACAAATTTCTTAACTACTTTTATGGTTTAGCTAATTGATTAACTCTATCCTTACTGATTATATATTGTTTAAAGAACCCCTACTGTTTTTTACCAAAAAATAAGTATCCCTATTGTTTTTGACAATTGACATTATCATTAATGATAAGGGCAGATTTGGCCCTCCAGTGAAATTGCGACACGTGGCACCTCGTGACAACTAGGCAAGCACCCAGGCAACAACTTACCAAGTTGGTCTCCCCCCCGGGCACCGGTCTGGCTGGCCTGGCGCGACCTGCACGTGGCCCACGGGCAGCCTGCACGCGGCCTGGCACGGCCA